TACCTAGATATGATGCTAATAATATCTCATTATGTAGCCTCAAATTTATGCACCATTCCACTTATTTAAGCCGGACCATTGTCATTTAGCAACATAGTTTAGTAATTATAAGACAAAGATAATCACGATCAAACTGACATTCTTTTTTGGGGGCAATCATGGTGAAACAATAGTCTGTATTCATTAGGCATTTTTAAAGTTACATGTGGCGAAATTCAATTGCTGACTGCAATTAGTAACTACAATTTATCTAGACAATCATGGTGTGAGGAATAAGTGAAGAATAAATGATATTACTAGCATCATATTTAGGCATTAGTGGAATGGAGTATATGGAAATGTCAAATTCAAAGAAAATCTTAAAATAATAATAAGGAGTTTTCCATTTGTAAACTGGGGGTGGGCTGTTGAATGTTGAAGAACAAAAAAATTGTCGTTGGTGAAAAGGACAAAAATACAGAAGTCCAAGATGATAGCATAATGTAAATAAATAAAAAAAAAAACATGATTACCAAATCAGTGAATAAAATATTCAGATTTCAAAGTTATTTTAAATGTTCCACAACTCAGGTGATCTGAGGGATGCCATCCCAGCTTTGGGCTACAGTTCCTGCGTACTGGTAGCTCACGATTGGGGGGCGGCAGTCGCCTGGCAGTTTGCTATGGAGTATCCTGATCTGGTCGATAAACTGATTATCATGAACGGTCCACACCCTAAAAGAATGCAGAAGCTTATACAATCAAGTCGGAAGCAGTTCTTTATGTCTTGGTAAGTAAATAGGAGACATAATGATAAACAGCTAGCATTCATGGATTTCCCAGAATGCATCACACTCATTCAAAATTTATACCGCTTATCTTATAATATAGTGTAAGAATTTTCTATAATTATTTCATGCATATAATTCATCAATCTTAATTTTATTCAAATCATCCCAAATATAAGATTGAATAATATTCAATTCATTGTAGTAAAATGTGGATAAATTGTTATGCTATTTAGAAAAGTTTAGATTCACTGCCCACTCTTCCAACTAAAATGACTTACCAATTGTTTTCCCCATTTTTTTTTCTACTGAATAACAAAGTAGCGTGACCAAAGCTTTTCTGATGCAGTAGGTTATATGTAAATATGGTGCATTACTTATGGTCTAATTTTGAATTAGAATTTTACTATAGTTGGAAACTAATCAAAGTGAAAAGCTGGCAGTCTCCTTAAAGTGACACAGTCATCCTGCAGAACATATTCAAATTTTGTGTAAACAAACTCTGTATTTAGACATGTTGTATATATACTATGGGACCCATATCAAGCATTATGACTGTGGCATTTGCCTTGTAGAAGTTCTTGTTCCTTTATTGTGTCACCTTTTGTACTTGCACTGACCTGGTGTAGTTGAAAGCTAAATGGCTGTTGATAACAAATAACAAATAAATATTAATTTTTCAACTTTTTTTCTGCAGGTACATGTTCTTCTTTCAGCTTCCGTATCTTCCCGAGTTCGTTCTGAGCATGTCTGATTATAACGGAATTAAAGCTATGTTTCATGGACGTGGTGTGGGACTCCGAAATAGAGATAATATCACTGCAGATGATTTGGAAGCATTCAAGCACAATTGCCAACGAGAAGGTAAAAGTTTATAAATGTATTTTTTATGTGCCCATCATTAGGACACCTGCCATCCCCATAGAGTATCGTGGTATCACCTACTAGTACTATAATATTTTGCTCACTTCCAATAATTCTGTATTTATAACAATTATGAGTTATGATAAAAATGTTGTTGGGTAAAATCCAGTCATAATTAGCATATTTCATTTTGAGGCTCAAATTCACTGTGATTTCAAAGTAATTGTAATCATAATCATTATTATAAAATCAAATACATCCCTACCCAGTTAGGACCACATTGATTAATAATGTTTTGTCATATTTCACAAACCCAGGTGCTTTAACGGCAATGATCAACTACTATCGAGCTGCACTCCGCTATACTCCAAAGTTGAAATCAGCCGTTATAACCTCACCAACTCTGTTGATCTGGGGTGAGGAAGACACTGCTTTGGACATTGCTTTGACTGAAGGTTTGGAAAAGTATGTGCATGATATCAACGTGAAACTAATACCAGGCGCAAGTCACTGGGTTCAACAAGACCAGCCTGAGCTTGTTAATGATGCCATGCACGACTTTCTGCAAGGGTAACAACAGTACTGTATCATCACTGGTGTAAATTTATCTTAATTACGATTTCAGTATTGTATTAATCAAACAACAAGATAATCTCAGTTTTTGTTCGCTGTGCGTTCAAATATCTTGTAAACAAATGTAATTTACATACGCAGATTTACATTTTCAAAATATTTACTGAATACCAGAGAATATTTCTTCATCCAACAATGATGACGGACAAAGTATTACAGATGTGTTAAATTTGTGTCACCAATTTGGTGTACAAATTGATTATAATAATTAACGAATTATGTTATACTGTTATGGTTTGATTATATGCCATATACAATCTTGTTTGCTCTGAGGATGCGATTAGTGAGAGTGTTACTACATAAATCATGTTCTTGAGAAATGCATCTGTCTCCATACTGTCAATTTCCAAAACATGTGCAATAATATGTCATGTATAGAAAATTTTCGAAATATATGAATTAAATTTGATCACTGTTTTATTATGTGAACGTTTGCTGGCAATAAAAAGCTATACTGTGCAGTATTAGATGAAGAATATACAAGAAAGCTAATTTACTTGTTGTGATCTGTATGGTGTCCACTTACTACAATATGCTGTGCCAACTTTTGATATTAAAATTGGGATATGTATTTGCTTGCATATTTGTCCAGCGGGTCACCTAATCATGTTCGTTGGTCTAGAATTGGCCGTAGTTATTATTCAAATTTATATTATATTTTCTTACTTATACCTAAAAATGTCATTTGGGTGAGCTTTTATGATTGATTGAAGTATCCTTGCTTCACCCCCCAATGTACAGTGTAAGCCCCACAATGCACTGTGCTCAGTGCCTGCACATGCAATTATTTGGGCATACTAAATCTTAATTACATTGATGTATTTTTTTGGTTACAATGGTGAGGGGGATAATCAAACTGCCACTTCAGTAATCACACATAGTTCGGATCAGATTTACAGCCTGTAGAAATGTCGGTGTGACTTATAGCCATGGATGAGTTTTGTAGAAGCGTATATACAACAAAATTTACTAGGGACTATTTCAGGCATCAAAAACTTGTTTGCTTTGCAATGCCATTTTCCAACTAACTTTCACTACTTTCATAACACTTTTTACAGCTTGTAAATTGCAGAATGTAACACGTAGCAAATTTATCAGAAGTTTGGTCACCTTATTGCTACACTAACAGCATAATTGTAGATGTTAATTCCAGTATTTAACCACTTGGTATCTAGACTCATATGCATTGCATATCAAAAAATCCCGAAATGAAGCCACACTACATTTGCTCTGAACAGTACAGAAATTTTCAAATCGCTTATAACCCAGCAGCTAATTTTGTGATCTGTCTATTTTGGGACACAGTGAACATATTCGACTTTCTAACGTAATTTTGCAACTGTCCAGCCGACTTTCACAACTGTCTAAGCAGCCTTTTCTCCTTGCCAGCAACTTTTACATCTTTCCAACCAACTTTCACGACCGCTGAACCAATTGTTTTTTTATATTCCAATCAACTTTCCTAACTATTTATTTAACTTTTGTGCTGTATTTGCCTTGCAACCAGCCATTTTGACCTTCCAACTTAATTTCCCGAATGTCAACTTTTCAACCAACCTCCACGACAACCAGCATTTTGATTTACTAATCAAAACTTCTTCGTTTTTCAAACCCACTTTCACAACTGTTAAACTTTCTATCAAAATTTTTAGACTTTTCTACCTTGCCAACCAACTTTCTCGACTTATCATCAACTTTCACGACTTTCAAACTTGAACCAATGTTCTCAATTTTACAACTAACGATTCCGCATTTCCAACTAACTTTCTCAAATTCCAATAACAATCTAACAACCTTTGTGACTGTCCAACTAACATTTCTGACATTCCAACCATTTCGATATTTCAACCAACTATCACAACTGTACAAATATTTTTCGATCTAACTTGTTGGTCTTACTACCCTATCATTTTGACTTCCCAACCCATATTTTTGCTTTGACAAACTAATTTCTCGACTTTGTAACCAACTTCCCACGACTTCCAAAACAGTTAACTTTCTGACTTTCCAGCAAATTTTCAACTTTACAACTCATTTTTACGACTATCCAACAATGTTCATGGCTTTTCAGCCAAGGTTTTCATCTTTCTGACTTAACATTTTCGGCTGGCCAACAAACTTTTTTTAATTTCGACCAAACTTTCATGACTGTCAGCCAACATTTCCGACTTTACAACCAACTTTTCATCCAACTTCTAAAACGTTCCAAGCAGCTTTATCGACTTTTCAACTAACGTTTTCGCTTTTCCAACCAGTTTTTATTGTCAAGCCAA